AAAAAGAAATTAACTAGCTTTGTATCGAAATCTGTCTGGGGAAATCCAGTTATGAAAGTCAAAGTTGCAACTGAAATTCGCCGACACACAGCCGGCGCTGAAGCTCAGTGTTGTTTTTCGACCGTTCTCTGAACGACTGTTATGAAAGAACACTGAGGAACAAAATAATACACACAGAAGTTATTTTTTGAAAAATTTATTTGAAAACCCAAATGTTTCTGTACTCAAATGAAATTCGCTTATTCCAGCGTAATGTGCCCGTTTAAACTCAACTAAAATTTTTAATCGATGCGATGAAAACTTCACAACAAAGCTGTCTCGAATTTGAGCGTGTTTCCTAAAATATTTGCTTGAATTTAGCATCAGCTTGACCAAAAAGTCAATAAAACAATGCTAATTGATAAATTTACATTTCAAACAAACTTTTTCTCTTCTATAAAAAACACACAAAATGTACCTTAAATCTTCGCTCGCTCGATTTTCCTTCAGCCGATTCTAGCCGCGAGGAAAACAGTGATTAATTCATCCAGGGCAAATTTGTCGCTTGATCTTTTGTCTTTTGTGCTTCAAAACGACAGCTTAGTATTTTCTTCAACTTTCACTTTTCATCTGTGCATTTCATCGGTGTATTTTACCGTCAGGAGAGGAGATTTGTTGAATTTGCCTAAATTTTACCGCGCTAGCTCAGTTTCTTCGCGTGCAACCACGGGCAAATGGTAGTGGCGAACTGACCAGTCAGAGCGCGCGATTTACTTTTGTTATGTTATAATGTTTGTTAACAAGGTGTAACAGTCATATAAGGAGGACAGATATATTAAAAAAGAGTTTAGTTGACTGTGGCCGCATCGCGGAAATGTCACGGAAATGAAAAACTTTACTGGAGGTGAAAACCAGTAAACAGTCGGAGAACTGTACTGCTCTGCGGAATTTACTGGAGAGGTACATGGCGGGTTCATTTTTCTCTCTGTCATTAACATCTTTTTGTCAATTACAGCATTTTGGGGGAATACTCTAATCCTAGTTGCCCTTCACAAGGACACATCAATTCATCCGCCATCCAAACTCTTGTATTGTAACCTTGCGATAACCGATCTCTGTGTTGGTGTCATTGCGAAGCCTCTACGCGCTGCATATTGCACTTCGTTGGTAACATTGACTGCAATAAACGTGGACAGACTTCTCGCTTTGCTACTAGGTCTCAGATACAGACAAGTTGTAACTTTGAAAAGGACATGTTTAATCGCTATTGGTGGTTGGATTGCGTCTATTGTCGGTGTATCTATCTCCTTTCTGAATCTTCTTATAGTTTCATTGTACGATTATATCCCTACAGCTTTTTGTTTAGTTACTACAATCTGCAAAATTTTCATGTCTCTGCGTCATAACCAAATTCATGGTCAGAACCATGTTGTTCAAGACAATCGAGCCAAGCAAATACACTGAATAAAGCCTGATACAGAAAGGCCGTGTACAGTGCACTGTGCGTGCAGGTAACATTGGTTATTTGTTATCTGCCGCACGTTATAGCTGTAGCTTTAACACCTCAAAGGGGAATGCCTTTTTCTACTTACCTTGCTAGGGGATTTACAGCTACTTCAGTGTATTTAAACTCGTCGTTAAATCCATTGCTGTACTGCTGGAAGATCACAGAAGTGAAACAAGCTGTAAAAGAAACATTACAACAACTACACTTCTGTATCAACTAAGACTTGGACTAAGACTTATGGCATCAAGTTTACCAGTTGTGAAAAGCCGACCAGAAAGTGTAGTTTTGGCTTGTCAAAGGAACATTTACTAAAGAACTTGATAGGAAACTATAAAATATGAAAGAAAATAAATAGTAGGGATACTGTACTTCCCATAAACTTTAAAATTAGAACTTTAATTCTTTTTTTAAGCTTGTAGAACCACGCCTCGCTTGTCATTTACTTTTCACCAAATTCAAATCAAATATGTCTCAAACATAAAAGAAGAGCTTGCATGACTATTGAAATGGAGAGGAGTCCGGAGAAAATACACTTGATAAAACTGAAAAAACGAAAAACAAAAAAAGACGAGGGGGATTGACCTCAATCCCTCCCCCTCTCCTCATTTTTACGTTTCAAGAGTGAACCATAGCTAGACTTAGAAAACCAGACCATACAAATGTCCCGTATCTTTCGTCCCCCCCCCCCCCCACCCCCAAAACCCCCTTATCAACAAAACCCACACCGCAGAGCAGCGGCGCAAAAGAGACGACAAACAACACAACATATATTG